TTCGACACCAAAGACTGCCCCTGAAGATGTCAGAGAAAGTTTGAAAGTATTTAGGCTGTGGTATTTGATTTGAGCCATTAGCAGAAGTAATAAATACAAGTCACATTTATTTAAAAAATTTCTTTCAGGGGTAGTAATTAAGAATATCCTAGTCATGAGAGTCATAAGCAGCTGCCAGGATGGTAAGCCAGGCTCTTGGCAGCATATGATGTTGTGCGCTGCAAGTGGCCCATCATTGCTTTGAGATTAAAGAGTCACCTGGCTCCACTTCTTAGTTCTTTACCGCATGGAATTCACTGACTTAAAACAGTATTACAGAAGGGAAACTAGCTCTGAAGGCCGCATTTACTTCTCTTCAGCTTCATTTTCTCCCCACTTAAAGTTCTTTAGGTTTTCTTAGGTTTCTAAACTGTATACCATACGTATGTCAATTGACCAGGATGACAACATAGAGAATATGGCATATTTATTCAACAGGAGGAATAAACTTTGTAACTGTCATGCATTTTGTAACTGTTGTTTGGTTTGGCTCGGCCAAATAGAACCTTTGTTTTATCTAATTTTTTTTTCTAGGTAATTTTTAGGCCTGAAATGTTAGGCTTGCATTCAGTTGTCACCTTTTATTTTTTTTTCCTGTATCTTCTGTGGTTTATATTATGTACTTTCTTAACTGGACTGTTTATAATACACATTGTTTGGTAGCAAACATATGCTGTTATTGGGTAGGCTGTCTCTGGGAAACTCTGGTCAGAAGATGCTGAGGTTTCTACCTTCTGTGGAAAGAATCCAAGCATGATGTGGAAATGTGGTCTTTGATTAAAAATGATGGAAAGTTATCATAGTGAAAGCAGTGATGGCACCTAGCCAAGTGGGATAGAAGGGGGCTGGTCTTGTTTAAAGGGCCTTTTATAAATTCAAAGGGCAAACAGAAAAACCTGGGCGGTCTCTGTGGGATAGGGTAGGGCGATTGACAGGCTTGATATACTCTGTGCATGCGCTTAAGCTATATTACATGCATGAGGTGCAGTCAATATTTATGTTTTCAGCAAAGGGTTTTGATCTGAAATGCACTGTGAAAAGCCATGCCTTCTGGCACCGGCCGGGCCACAGTCCCCAAATCTATGGCTAGCCTGCCTCATTACAAAAGCAGATGTACTGATGGTAAATAAACATATGAAATAATATTCCCTGTCATTTGTTATCAGGAAAATACAACTTAAAACAATGCAATATGTTAGGTACATACCAGTTAGTACTATTAGCAAATCCACATCACTGATGAAGTTGTGGAACTCTTATTGCTAGTAGGAATGCAAAATGGCCCAACCATTTTAGAAGACAGTTTGGCAGTTTCTTAGAAAACTAATTAGTCTCCATATAGCCTAACAATTTCATTTCTTGGTATTTATGTGAAAGAGGTAGAAAATTATGTTCACGTGAAAACACGCACATGGATATTTTGTAGCGGCTTTATTTGTAATTGCAAAGCTTGGAAGCAGCTAAGATGTCCTTTAGTAAGTAGGTGAGTGGATAAATTGTGGTACATCCAGACAAAGAAATATTAAAAAGCGCTAAAAAGAAATAAGCTTATAATAAGCCATAAAAAAAATCATGGCAGTATCTTAAGGGCATTTTACTAATTGAAAGAAGTCAAACTCAAAAGGCTACGAGGATGATTCAAACTATATGACATTCTGGTAGAAAGGTAGAAAGGAAACAGTAGAAAGATAAGCAGCTGCCAGGAGTTGGTAGGAGTGAGGGATGAATAGGCTGAGCACAAAGGATTTCGCTGATAGTGAAACTATGTGATATTATAATGGTGGCTACATGTTATAAAAATTTGCCCAAACCCATAAGTTGTATAACACTAAGAGTGAACTTTAGTGTAAATTATGGACTCTGGATGATAATGATGTAGGTTCAGTGTAAGTTCATCATTTGCAACAAATTCTATTAAAAAATAAAATTAACTGTAGTAAAATGTTTGTACTATACAAAATAAAAACTAAATTAAGTTTTTTTTTTTAAATTAAGTTTTTTTCTGTGACATCTTTCATCATGGTACACTTCTCTTCCCCCCACCCCAGCTTGGGAAAGAACAAGTCTACTTTTGAGCTACAGCCCCCGCTGTTGTATGGTCTTCCTTAAAAACCATCAGTGGCCCTTTCAGAGTCTTCTTAACTGATGTTCATTGTGCTTCATTGACAGCCCCAGGCTGTCTTACAGATTCACATCCTAATGCTACTCCACCCACACTTGCTGGTGTTTTCTTCCTGCCTTTATGAAATACTTTTGGCTTAGGGAGGACAATTCTTTGTTGTGTGCATGTAGTTGCTGAATGTTCTCCATTCCCCCACCCCCAGTAGGAGCGGGAAGGAAGTGAAAAGAGGAGGAAAAAGGGAAGAGGCCAGAACCTTTCTGCCAGCCACATTCTATTATTTTTGAGTTCCAGAGCTCATTGTATTTCCTACTTGAGTTTTTGTTGTCCTTTTTTTCTAACCATAGTTTCTAAAATCCAGTTGCTCTTTCATCAGGCCACAGGAGATTGAGTTGCTTACATGTAAAGGTCAGTCAGGCAAATCGTTTATTAGGTATAGTATAGTAACTATATTATATATTATATATATATATATAATATACATGTATACTAATATATAGTGATATACATGGTAATGTAAATAAATAAGTAAATATCTCCTCTATTTCCCCCCATCCCGCAAGTTACCTCTATCACTTTAGAACACAGATTTGCATATCCCTTTATAATCTAGCCTTCACTTTTTTCTTATTTATCTAAGTGAGAATCCTATTATGTAGGCAAAATGAAATGTATAAATACTTAATTTCTTATATATATTATGATAGACACTCCATCATTTTACTATTATTATAAACTTATGCTCTTGCATATATATGTCTTTCTAGGGAACACTTGTTCATCTTTGAATGACAAATGCACATGTCACTTTCTCTTTGAAGCCTTCCTTAATATGCATAGTAAACATCAAATTATTTTGATGTGTCCTAGGCCTTTTTTTTCTTTTGGTGTATGTGACCGGTTGTTTTTATCCCATTCTCCAATTTGTGCAACATACAGAACCACCAATACATGTGACAGAAGAAGTGTATGCAGGCCATTCCTGGGTACAGAGAATTCTGCGTTCTTGCATAAGTCATTTCTATTAATACACTGGATTCCAAAACCAAGAAATCAGGGGCTGGGGATGTAGCTCAGTGGTGAAGTGCTTGCCTACCATGTGCCAGGCCCTGGGTTTGATCCCCAACATCACAAATAAATAAAATCAAAATTCTCCTGTTTACCAGAAACGTTGCTCCATCTGCAGATGTTCTGGATGAGTACGATGCTTGATAGTTGTTGAAAGAATAATCCTGCCTGAGTGCCATCCCATCCCATTACCATTTGTTCCTGACCCAGCACTGAATCTTGTGATTTGGATTCCTTTTATGTATTATTTATTTTTCTTTTCTTTTATTGTTGTGTTGGGTAGGGGTACACTGTGGCATTTACAAAGATTCTTACAGTATATCAAGTATATCATACTTGAATTAACCCTCTCCTCTCCACCTTATCTCCGCCCCCCCACCCATTTGAGACATAGTTGCAACAGGTATCCTTTTTCTGTTTACATTCACACATACAAAGCATTTGCACCATATTCACCCTCTTACACCCTTTCCTCATCCCCTCCCCTTGCACTGGTGTTGAAACCTCCCCCCACCAGGCAGGACCTGTTCCTCCCTCCCGTTTTCTGATTTTGCAAAAGAAGTGATATTTTTGCTTAAGATAGCCAAACAGAGAATTTCCTTGTGGCATGTCCATGTATATATGTATTATCGCCCAATTTGGTTCATTTCCTCTATTTTTCTTTGTTCTACTTTAGCCCCATTCTTACGGTTGTTTCAACTAGTTTAAAAATTCCATATTCATTCTTGTATGGAGAATGCATCAATCATGTTCACCTTAACTTCCTTTTTTTACATCTCCCTCCCCTTGGCATATCCTGTTTTTCATAATATGGTTACATTTGTATTAGGTCTATATTCCAGATATGAGAGAAAACATCAGGCTTCTTCTAGACTTCTGAACCTGGCTAACTTCACTTAAGATGATGTTCTCCAGTTCCATCCATTTACCTGCACACAAGATTTCATTCTTCTTTGTGACTGAATACAATTCCATTGTATATAAGTACTACATTTTCTTAGTCCCATTCATCAGTAGTGGGGCATCTTAGTTGTTCTATAGTTTAGCTGTTGTGAATAATGCTGCAATAAATATGAGTGTGCAGGTGCCTTTGTTGTAAATTGATTTAGATTCCTTCGGGTATATCCTTAAGAGTGGAATTCCTGGGCAACATTGGGGTTTGAACTCAGGGCCTCACACTTGCTAGGCAGGCACTCTTACTGCTTGAGCTACTCAGCCATCACATCTGATTTGATTCTGCCCAGTTAGTTACTATAGAGCTTGGATATTCAACTTTACTGCCTGGTGCCTGTGTGTAACTGTGGAAGGGAAAGCAGCTTATGCCCCACTGCAAAGTGTGAAATGGGAAGTGAGTGTTCGTGTAAGACTTTCATTTCAATTAAACTGGATTGTATGAAATTGGCACCTGTGTTCTGCAAGTTTTAGTATTTTATTTTTAAATATGAGAAAGTTGTTTTTCTTCCAGGAAGGAATGATTAGTAAATACAGTGGATTGGATAAGAGGTGCTTAAAAATAAGGAAATGTTAGACAATTTGAAGTCAGTCCTGGTGTAACTCCTGGTTTTGGTTGCCTAATGTTACTGAAATTGTAGTACTTAATTTTAGGCAGTTGTGTTCATATATTTTTGATGTGAAGAATGTACTCTGCTAGATGTTTTAAAACTTCTTAGTCTGAAGTTTGACTTTGTTGTTTTTCTCTTTTAAATTGTATTCTCTAACTAGAGCCTATGATTTTGGTATGGCAAGTTTGTAATTGTTGTTTGTTCTGTTCTAGATCCCTGCATGTCACTGAGTCCACCATGCTTCACAGAAGAAGATAGATTTAGTCTGGAAGCTCTTCAGACAATCCACAAACAAATGGATGATGACAAAGATGGTGGGATTGAAGTAGATGAAAGCGATGAAGTAGGTGGAACCCTTTGCCCTGGTTTTTTCTTTAACAGAATGACTGTGATTGTAATCTTAAAATTTTCCTTTATTCTTCATATGATTCAGTATCTTTCAATATCTTTAGCTTCAATATCTTTAGCTTTTCTATTTTCTATTCTCTGTCTCTTTCTCTTTTGGTGATAACGAGGTTTGAACTCAGGGCCGCACTCTTGGTAGGCAGGAGCTCTACCATTTGAACCACACCCCCTAGCCCTTTTTAGCTTTTGTTATTTTTTAGATAGGATTTCCCATTTTTTGCCCAGGCCTAGCCTTGAATGGCAGTCCTCCTACTTATGCCTCCCATGTAGCTAGGATTGTTGTTGATGCCTGGCTTGTTGTTGATCTGGGATCTTGCTAAATTTTTGCCTGGGCTGGCCTCAAAATGTGACCCTCCCAATGTCCATTGCTTGAGTAGCTTGGATTATAGGTATATATACTACCATGTCTGGCTCTTTTTATGCTTCAATTTTACCCTCCATATTTACTTTGCTTTTCTGTTTTTTGGTTTTGTTTTGTTTTAATGTCCATTTGTATATAAGACTTCTCAGTTTTTTTGAGATGAGGGTCTTGATATGTTACCTAGTCTGGCCTCAAACTCCTGGGCACAAGAGATCCTCCTACCTCTGCTTCCCAAATAGCTAGGTAGGCCTACAGCCAGGCTTAGGTCTTCCAGTTATATACGTATCTACAGTCTCACACTCTGGATTTCCCAAACATATCCTATTTGGTTTATATCAGTTATCTATGACTGCTTTATAAACCAACACAAACTGTAGTGCTAATGACTACAGTTTATTGATTCTCCTAATTCTGTGGGTTGACTGAATTTGCTCATTTGGGCAGTTCTCTTACCTTAGGTATGGGTGGACGTCATTTATGGTAGTTGGAATTCATTTGTGAGCTACTGTAGCTGTACTAAGATGTCCTCTTGTCCTTCATGATCTCTCTTCCTCTACCTTTCATCATTCAGTAGTCTAGCTCAAGTTTTATTGCAGCCTAACAGCTGGCTTCCAAGTGGTAGTGTTCCAAGAAACAAAAGTTCCCATGTGCGAGTGCTTATCATGTCCCTGTTTGCCAATGCTTGCTAGTACCAAATTGGCTAAAGCAAATCATTTGGCTAAGCTCAGAGTCTATGGGAAAGAATTATATGTTGCACAGATAACCAGGTGATGTGGTTCATTCTAGGTCACCAATTTACTTATGCACTTACTGTCTTTAGTTTTTTTGCATTCCCATCTTTTTTTTCATAGAAGTTGGTTTATTGATTTGTGTGTGTATGTGTGTGTGTGTGTGTGAGATCTAATTCTAGTCAGACCCCCTGCCATTTTTCAGGCCTATTTAGCTTCTTTTATGTATCGGAGATATTTCTTTTCTAGATTATGTAATACTAAATTTCATTGTTTCCTACATTATCTAATGTTACATAGCAGTGGCATCCTCTAATAACTGTGCTGTTTAACAACATTCTTTAAAGATACAGATTCTTTTCCTATGGATAATTTAAAGATTAGTTTCTGACCTGCCTGTACAAAATTTTTATTTTGAGAATATTCATCTGTGTTCAGGTTGCTCCTTATTCTTCTGTCTTTAAGCCAATCCATATTCCAGATCTACATGTATTGCTTTCTACCTGACATTTTAAGAGGACTTTTAAACTATTGCTTTACATTTAGAATGGTTAAAGCAAAATCCTCTCTTATTTTAAATCTCTCACTGTTCAGTGGCACTTCTGGACCCACCTCTCCTCAATTTTTATTCTAAATTATGAGTTGGAAGATTTTTTTCTATGGATAATTTATAGATTCAAATGTGTCTTCCAAAAACATGTTGAAGTCCTACTCCCTAGTACCTTCAAGTGTGACTTTATTTGGAAATAGGGTTGATGCATATGCTAGAAAAGTGCTTTCCCATTGATCATCGCCCTGGCAATATCAGCTGTGTCTTAGTCTGATTTATGCTGCTAGAACAGAGTACCAGCTGCATAATTTATAATGAGCAGAAATTTATTGGCTCATAGTTCTGGAAGCTGGGCTGTCCAAAATCAGGATGCCAGTAAATTTAGTGATTCTGATTCTGAGACAGCTTCTTGAATGCTATATTCTTTCTATGGGGGGGATGCTTTGTATTTACATAATGGAAAATGGAAGAGCACAGAGGCTAACGGGCAAACCGTGTTCTTTTATAATGATATCATTAGTCCTCATAAGGATAGTCTTTCACCTATTACCTCCCAGCGTCTCACTTCCCAACACTGTCATAATGACAACCAAATTATAACATAAGGTTTGGAGGGGACAAACATCCAAACCACAGCATACCACAACTACAAAAAGATTTAAATCTGAAAAAATACCAGAAATTCACATTCTTTGAATATTAGGAATACCTCTAAAGGGAAAAACAGTTAAGTTGTGCATAATATATGGATTGAGAGAGCATTAAAGTCTACTTTTGCAGAAATTTGCCAGCCTTTCAAAAGTATTTAATTGCGTAAAAGTTCCTAGAATCACGTTAGGTAATAATTTTTAACGTCCTCAGATATTAAATGTGTATGTGCAGAGTTTATTGCTATGAGACAAGTTTACATGGCTGTGTAATTTACACTTCAATGGAAGTATAACTTCATGAATTTAATGAGAAGCTTTAGTAAAAAATATTAAAATATTTAATTTCTTGTGAATTTTTGGATTTCAGTGTCACTTTTTTTTTTTAATTCAGGAAAGTATTTAGCATCAGGAAATGCTGGTTGAAGACTATATATTTTTCCTCTTTGTACCCTTTGTTTATTTTTATATTTTGTCATATGATTATTTGATTTTGAGCTAATATTCGAAGGCCTACTATATACCAGATGTTCAAATAGGTGCTTGGTATAGTTCAGTAACAAGACAGATGAAATCTTGCCTTCATAGTAATGTTCTGGTAGGGCTTGTGGGAAAGCACATTTAACAAAAACAGTGAAGCAGATGATGGGAGAGGAGGCTATTGTTGGAATTAAAGACCCTCCAGTGCCGAGAACAGACACACAAGAGCAGAAAATCTTGACAAGGCAATTTCTTTTGATCAAAAGGGTGCAAGCACGTACTTACTCTAGCTGAACAGACATGCAAACACAAAATGGCTGACAGTGGCTCCTCCTTATATCCCTGATGCAGTTGTACCTAACCCTCGCCTGGGATTTGTCCAGGTCAAAGGTTCACAGTCTTTCCTGATTGGCTGAAAGGCTTAGGGGGATGGGTCAGAGCACATAATTTGGCAGGCAATTTTCACAGGCAATGGGACTGTACAAGAATCTAGAAGAAACAGGAACCCTTTAAACAACACAAGTCACCTAAGATGGCGGCGTGAGGGATTTTAAGTAATCTAAGAGGGTGACATACACTTTGATAGAAAAGATTATTTTTCTTAAAATACTGATGTTCTGGTAGGGCTTGTGGGAAAGCACACTTAACAAAAACAGAGAAGACAGATGATGGGAGAGGAAGCGGTCTGTAATTTTATATAGGGTGTCATGTAGGCCACATTTAAGAAGGTGACACAAAATGTATTCCACATGTAGTACTTTGGACAAGTAAGAGAATAGGTATCTGGTAATTTTTCATGTATATTAAAGCTGAATTTGGAGGATTTGGGTGTCTCAGAACAGGAGCAAGGTAATAAAGAAGGCATAGACTTCTGGGCCAAGATTAAAAAAAGATTAGATGTCAGGATGTACTGAATCTGTGACCTGTTTAGATTGAGCTGTTGCATAAAGTCAAGTTTGCATATTCTATCAATATTGCTATTTTGGAAAGTGTAAGTATTTAATCAATAAATAATTTAAATGAGAGAAATGAGTGGTTTTATTTTCCTGAACATAGCAGACAAGGCAGTGGGAATTTACATTTTGATTATCTAATTTGTAACTGAGAACTTGATTGTAGTTTCTAAAACTGTGTTCTCTTTTTAATCATTCCATTTTTTTTCTTCAAAATATTTTTTCATTTATTTATCTAATTTTTCTTCCTCATTCATTCATTCATTCATTCTTCCCTTTCATTGTGTGATTTGAAATAAGGTAGAGTTTTTGTATTTATAGGTTGTCTTGAGATTTTTGTCTATATTGATATCTGTATATATGTCTATATTTAAATAAAGTCAACTTTAAGACCAACTTCTATGAAAAATCTGGCTGAACTTGGTATTTCAGTTTTCCTTATAGTAGATAATTCTTCCTACTAAACACCTTTGTCATTATTTGTGTACATACCTGTTGATAAGGAGAGTCACTTATGAAGAAAGGCAAAGTAGGGGTAAGACAAAAAGAAGATGAATTTTAAGAATGGATCATTGTTTTGAATTATGCAAGGTATTTTGTCCAAAGGATTAAATGTGGGTAACTTTTATTGATGCTTTATAAGTCAAACATTTTAACTTCTGTATTAGTTATGTGTTACCATGTAACAAGTAACCCAAAACTTAGTGCTTACCATTTTCTGGTTTCTGTAGGTCAGAAGTCCTAGTGCCATTTAGGTGGATCTTCTGATTCCTGGTCTCTTAGGCTGCATTGAAATGTTTGTTCAAATTTTTTGTGTCATAGCATGCACTAAAAAACTACTCATGTGGCCCTTGGCCTCTCATGTCCTCACTGGCTGTTGGTTAGAGGCAACAATTCCCTGCCATATGGGTCTCTCCATAGGGCAGTTTATAAAATGGCAGTGGGTTTCCATCAGAGTAAAGAAACAGCTATGAGAGGAAAAAGGGCCATCAAGAGAAGTCACAGTCTTTTTGTAACCAATCTTGGAAGCGGTGTTCCATTACTTTTGTTTTATCCTGTGAGATACTGGGTCCAACCCACACTCAAGGGTAGGTGGTTACATAGGGATTTGAATGGGATGATGTGAGGATCTGTGAGAGCCAGTTTAGAGGCTGCTGACCATAGTTTGTTTCTATATTCCATTAATTGAAGATGTTTGTTTGATAGGAAGTTTAGTCAC